CTTTGAAAACTATTTCTGTAATCCCAGGTAAGATGTAAGTGGTATAAAGTGTTAGGTCCCTTGTACCTGTCCAACTGTTCCTTTTTATCCTGTCATTGTGTTTGTGTGTGAACTCCCCTATTACAGATATGTGACAGAGTTTGTGGACCTGGGTAATGTCTCAGCGTTGAGAACATTCAGAGTTCTCCGGGCATTGAAAACAATATCAGTCATCCCAGGTGAGAGCTAGGTTAAACTCAGAGGCTGACTTTAATTGATCAAAACTGCCGTTTTATCTGTTTGGTCCATTTAATTGCTAATCCAGATTATCCACCTAGAAACAATTCTTTTGTTTCTTGCTGTGGTGAAGACATCAGCCTTGGAGTTTAACACATTTTTGCATGAGATAGCAATGAAAACTATGTATGTTGCACATGATCATAGTTAATTTTCTTTCATACAACAATATGAAAAATGGTTGCACTTTTCATATTCAGATAGACTTTGCTTATGGAAATAATTTGGGAATGAGGATGTTAGCATTTAGAAAATTAGATTGCTAGTACACCTTCTAATAATAATATGCTAATAGAGGAACTGCATGGATATTGCATGAATATAGCTTAGGAAGCCTTACCTTCCAAACCACTTTCTGGCTTGAAAGATGTTTCTGTTAAGTCATGCTTGAAAAAATTTACTATTGGTAAAAAAATTTCCTTATATTATCAGACCAGGGGTAGGTAACATGGTCACCAACTTGCTCATGACACCTCCTTTGCTATTTACCTAGCTTGCCATCCTGCTTGGCTGTGTTTAACAAGTCCTTTTTATATATGTATAAAACTGTGATGCTTGAAAGCAAAACTGCAATTTTTTTAATGTTCTATGGAATTATAAGAACGCTTCAAGTCCCACTGGGATCGCAGAGAATATACTGGGGAAAAGGGCTAATTTGATTTCTGGTAAATGGGTGTCTTCTCATGTCAAATGTTTGTGACTGTAATTAACCCATGCTTTCAAAATTAAAATTATCACACACACACACACACACACACACACACACACACACACCACCCCCAGTTGCCTACCCCCTGCATTAGCTCTATGCAAAGTAAGAATAACTAAACATGCTGGCTTCCAGTTGCATAGCTGTTTAGGTGATGATGCTTTTTATATTCCTGCATAGTTGCCTTTAAAAAAAATATTTCATGTCTCAAGAGTTTGAAGGCTTTCTCGTTTAGCGAAAAAGTGATGACTTGCAAAACTAGGAACTGCTTGCATGAAACATTTTAATTCATCTCAGTTGCCAATACCTAGAGCTTGAACCAAAGCTAATTTTGGGATTATGCCTTTCTCTTCTATTTCAGGCCTGAAGACAATCGTAGGAGCTCTCATTCAGTCAGTGAAGAAGCTTTCAGATGTTATGATCTTGACTCTGTTTTGTCTGAGTGTGTTTGCACTAATAGGATTGCAGTTGTTTATGGGTCATTTGAAGCATAAATGCTTGCTTTGGCCTCTGACTAACACTTCTTATAAAGATCCACGCTTTATGGAATACTACAATGGAACTGAGCTCATGTGGTCTAAATATATTGATAATAAAGGTAATGTTGAAATAACAACAGCAGCAGCAATGATACTAATTCACTAGAGTGCTTGGATATGAATCTAAGCTTTGCCATAAATCCAGTTGATGTATTTGGCCCGTTCTAAATTCAGAAAATATGTGTTGAATCAAAAATCTTGCTGTGAATCAACCTCACATCACGCTACCATCATTCAGTTGTTCCACTGGGTGGCACTCTATTTTCCAATGTTTAGTTAATTTGTGGTCTTTTCGATTAAAGTGAAAACACCGTTTGCTCAACATTGACTGGCAATAGAGTTGATGATGTAATAATAATTAATCTAAGATATTTTTTTCTGCACTAATTTTATTTAGTGGCTTCTCTGGACCAATTACCATATAAATTTAATTCATTTAGTATCATTGAAAATGAATTGCTTAAATGAAAGGAGATCAGTGCTATTAGTAAAAACACCATTTCAAATAAGAGTTGCATTATAAAACTGCAATAAATAAACAATAACTCATGTTTCGTATTTGAAACTAAATCCTCAGTCACAGAGATAGATTAATTAATTAGTAGTTTCTGTGCAATGTCAAAAGAAAAAGTAAAACTCTTTGCAAATGCTAGGGGTGCTCTATTTAGAGAAAATCAACAAATTCCCTTCAATCAACTTGTCTACTTTCCCGATAGTGATGTACACACACCGGCAATACTTCATCTTGAAAATCAGATTTTAGTTATCATTTACAGAGTCACATGGATTCCTAAGGGTTTTTTTGTTACAAAAAATTAAAGATATTAAATAATAATAATAAAAAAGAATTGCATGGGTTCAGGAAATATAATGATATAATCAGGCTAGTCAACTTCCTTGAATTTAATACACACACACACACAATTAACCTTCATTCCTAACTGCTTTGTCTTCTCCCATACACAGGGGTGGGACTCTACCGGTTCTGTCCACCTCTGTAGAACCGGTAGTTCTGAAGAGCAGCAAACACAGAACTGGCTCTGTATCTGCTTCTGTTTTGGCCCACCTGCCCTCCGGGCTCTTACCTGTCTTTTATTTCCAGCTTTTTCAACCGCAGCTGCTTTGCGCGGCACAGCTGTGGCTGAAAAAGCAGGAAAAAAGGGCTTTTCCAACCGCTGCGCACCCGCACGCAGCGCTGCTCAGCTGTCCAGGCAGCTCAGCAGGTCATAAATTGCACTCGCGTGATGCAGAGCAACAGAACCAGTAGTTATACCGGTCAGATCCCATCCCTGCCCATACAAGTCTAGTCACAAGACCACAGTTACATTTGCATACATTAGAAACAAGTTGCTGTTAAAGGTAGAACAGATTGCTCACTGTTAACTTATCACTATGTTAGTCTATCTTATTTCCCCATCTTCATGCCTTACAGATGTGTTTGGACTGCTTTAAGGTTGGGCAAGAGAGTTGTAGAGGCTACACACATCACAAACACAAGTAAGACATAGTCATTTTGCGCATAAGACAAATTTGATTGGTAGGATTGGTGGCTCTTAGTGCGAAAATGCCTTCTGCAACAAACAGAAAATTGTGACTATGATATGCATGAAAATATCTTAAGGTGTTTTGTTTTTTTCCTTACCAGAACACTTTTACTTCTTGGAAGGTGCAAAGGATGCCTTGCTCTGTGGTAATAGCACAGATGCTGGGTAAGTATAGTTTAGAAGAGAAATCCAATATTCGTAATAAAATATTAGTAACTAAATCTGCTAGCCCATCAACGACTTTGCTAACATATTTGAGCAGAAGCTATGGCAGAAATTTGGGGATGCTTTCCAGCATCATGGAACATTATACAGAAAGCTGTAGCTTAAGGGAAGAAATGGGAGAAATCTAATATTTCCTCTTTGCTGTATAATATGGCAAGAACATTCTAGGTACTGAACTACTTTGTTTTACAGGCCCAGTTAATGTTAAGTCCAAATAAAAGTTTGGTTTAGTACAAAGATCTGGTTTCTTTAATTGAATAACAAAATGCATTTGAGGTTTATGATCTGATTGGTGCATTTGATTTGATTTGAAGAAGTATGAAATTTA